AGGATGATATGGTACTGGCATAAGGATAGATATGTAAATTGTAGGTGTATACAATTTTAGAGTTTAGAAATAAACTCTTACCATTGTGGTCAATTTGATTTCTCAGTAAAGGTGCCAAGACAATTCAGTGGAGAAAGAATAGTCTTCAACAGATGGTGGTGGGACAACTGAAGATGCACATGCAAAATAGTGAATTTACACCCCCTGCCTCACACCATACACAGAAATTTAATTGGATCAAAGACCTGAATGTAAGCTAAAACCCTTAGAAGAAAATATAGGCATTAGTTCTTAATGACCTTGGATTAGGCAGTGGTTTCTTAGATAAAACACCAAGAACTAAGCAGTCAAAGAAAAAAGATTAACTGGACTTTATCAAAATTGAAAACTTCTGTGCGTTAAAGGTTACTATCAAGAAGGTGAATAATCTAAGATTTCAGTAGATCTTTCTCCAGAGAAGATAAACAAATGTTCGATAAGCACGTGAAAATACGCTCAACATCATTAGTCGTTATTCGGAGAATACAAATAGAAGACCACAATGAGATAATACTTCACACCCAGTAGGATTGTTAGAATCAAAGAGATGGACAAGAGCAAGTGTTGGCAAAGATGTGAAGCAGTTGGAACCCTCATACATGGTTGGCATGAATATGAAACGGAACAGCTGCTTTGGAAAATAATCTGGCACTTCCTCAAAAGTTAAACATTGAATTACCATGACCCAGCAAATAACACTGCCAGGAATCTACCCAAGAAAACAGAAGCTTATGTGTATACAAAACTTGTACGCCAGTATTCACAGCAGTATTATTCATAATAGCCAAAAAGTGGGAACTACCAAAATGTCCATCACCTGGTGAATGGATAAACAAAATGTGATACATCCATAGAGTGGAATATTATTTAGCCGTAAAAGCATAAAGTACAGCGTGAATGAACCTTGTAAATATGCTAAGTGAAAAAAGCCAGATCGAAGAGACCAGCTATTGTAAGATTCCATTTATATGAAATGTCCAGAATAGGCAAGTCCATAGCATCAGAAGGTAGGTGAGTGGCTCTCAGGGGCTGTGAGGAGTGACTACTGTTGGGGATGGGTTTCTCTGGGGGATGACGACAGTGTTCTGGAATTAGTAGTAATGGTTGTACAACCTTGAGACTATACTAAAAAGCACTGATTGGTATACAATAAAAGGATGATTCTTATCCTATGTCAGTTACCTCTTTAAAAGAGAGAAGGAAAAATACATAAATACTCTTATAATGTGATAGGAAGACAAT